ATGCAACTAGGACCCACAGTTAATTATTGAAGGTGAAACCCTACAAGTAGACAACAATGAGAAAACCCCAACTCTGCTGGCGAAATTCACCTTCTGGGCTAAAGTGGCTGTCTGTGAGTGATATTGACTCCTGCTTAGTAAATACACTTCACAACCATACTGAACATTAAAGCTCATCTCAAGATGAGTAATTGCTCATTTCATAGTCCAAAAGACAGCTTGGCGGGTTTCAATTAATACTTTGTAGTTCACAGCACATTGTCCACAATGTAGAAATAACATGATTAAACATGGAAAATAAATTAAGTCGTGTACCACTGGGTGGAATCCACGAGGGTTTATGATTTCCATGCTAAAATACAGCATTTGACATGAGGATTGAAAATGCTATGGTTCATTGGAGGGCCAGATGGCACAGGATGCTGGAGTTCCATGACAGGAACTCCAGATGTGTGATTTTGACCTATTTAGCAGCCATAAGGGACCGTGCTCTGGATGAAGCAATGGTGTCCCTGCTACCGTGCCAGTTAAAAATGGTCCCCTCCAACCTGCTTTTAAGCCTCAGTAAGGGGAGGAAGAAGGGGCTGTGGTGGCTCAGAGGTTAAGATGCTGAGCTGCAGACTGGAAGGTCAGTAGTTCAGCAGTTTGAGACCCGAGTGCCGCGTGATGGAGTGAGCTCCCGTCTCTGGCCCCAACCCCTGCCAACCTAGCAGTTCGAAAGCAAGAAACTGCAGGTAGATAAATAGGTACTGCTTTGGTGGGAAGGTAACAGCATTCCATGTGCCTCGGCGTTTAGTCATGCTGGCCACATGACCATGGAAACGTCTTCGGACAGTGCTTGCTCTTCGGCTTGAAAATGGAGATGACCACCATCCCATTCGAATAAGTCGAAAGTCGAATAAATAAATACATTCTACTACCTTTCAAGCAGGGGAAACCTTTACCTTTTACCTTTTAAGGGGAGGAAAAAGACAGTCACAACATAAGTAACTGTCTCCCCCTCCCCACACTTTAGCATGCAGCAGTCAGGAGCCTGTTTCTGATCACAGAAATGGTATTGGGGGAAGAGTTGAACTCCATTTCTCCAGTGCTGCAGCCCTGATCCAAATCAAATCCTGTCACTGCTGTTTTTAAAGGTTAGATTATGCGGCTAAAGTTCTAGTCATGGAATACCTTCGTCATGTGTTCATTAGCCCCGAGTCGAAGCAACAACGTTCATGATTCCCACAATGAACTGCCTGTACTAGAAGTGTTAACCAGTTTCAGGCTTTTGAACTATGGTGCTGGAGAAGACTCTTGAGAGTCCCTTGGACTGCAAGAAGATCAAATCAGTCAATCCTAAAAGAAATCAACCTTGACTGTTCCCTGGAAGGCCAGATCCTGAAGTTGAAGCTCAAATACTTTGGCCACCAAATGAGAAGGGAGCACTCACTGGAGAAGACCCTGATGCTGGGAAAGATTGAAGGTCAAAGAAGATGGGGACGGCAAAGGATGAGATGGTTAGACAGTGTCATAGATGCAACGAACATGAAATTGAGCCAACTTCAGAGGACGACAGAAGACAGGAGGGCCTGGCGGGAGCTGGTCCATGGGGTCGCGAAGAGTCGGACTAGACTGTGCGACTGAACAACAAATGTACATTGTGATCAATGACACACACACAAATACACACAGAGAAGATGAAGAACACAGTCTTATAGAGCATCTGTAAGAAAACGTGTCCCAGCAAAACTGCAGTCCCAGCAGCTGCATTATGTAAAAAAAGAAAAATTAATTGAACATATCACAGAATTTCCCATAACAAAAAAAAATTAATTGAACATATCACAGAATTTCACATAACGTAGCAAAATTTTTTTGCTAGATGTAGCTTAACTCTCGTGGTACGTCACAATTCACTGGTGAACTGTAGGCAGTTATTTGGCTGAACTGTTCCTTTTGCAGTCCCCTTGGGTTCCTTGGTCCCCCAGTCCTTGAAATTCCCCTTGTGTAGTTATTCCGCTCTGTTGATTACAAGAGCCCTTTACGTATGGGGTGTATGCAGGGTTCTTTTTCAGATCATGAGAAGGGAGGGAAGATCATGAGAAGGGAGGGCAGGAAGGGTTGCATCAGTGCTTAGTTCTCGTGGCCCTTTCTTACACGCCCAGGGAAATGCTGATCGCCACTTTGGGGTCAGGAAGCGATTGTTCTCCAGGCCAGTTTGGCCGGGGATCCTGGAGGGGTTCCCCTCCTCTTCTGGGCATAGAGCAGGGGTCACTGGGGGTGTGGAGGGGGAGGTATTTGTTAATTTCCTGCATCGTGCAGGGGGTTGGACGAGATGGCCCTGAGGTCCCTTCCAACTCTACGATACTATAATTTTATTTTCTCGCTGGCTGTCAATTTATCCGGCTTCCTTAAAGCCAAAGGCTCCCAAGCAAGGGCTTCTGTTGTTCTTACTTTGGGTCCAGGGATAAATCTGTGGTGATCCAGGATCTCACTGGGGAGGGAGTAGAAAAGGGCCCTTTGACTGCCTCACGTGGGCAAACTGATTGGCTGGGACAAAACTGGGCCAGCTCACTGACTGTGGAGAGGCATGTAGGATTGTTCCTCTGGGCTGAGCTGAGAAAGGCGAAGGGCAGGGGAGAGTAGCTATACTTCCGGTGCACACACGGTGTGTGCTCTCATATTTTCTTTCTCGCCTCCCCGCATGGCCACTGCGGTTCCCTTGCCCTCATCTGAATGGAGGCCAGAAGGGGACGGAGCAGCCTCTCTGTCTCTGCACGTGTTTGCGGGGAAAACTGCTCACTCGTCTTTACCCTCTCCTGAATGAGCACAACCCCCAGAGAGGCTTCAGGCAGGCAAGGAAGTGTTAGGCCACTCCTGTCTTTCCTCCCATTGAACTTCTCCCCACTCCTGACTCGGCCACTTGGCTCATGTCCAGCTCTCGCACACACACCTCACTTCCTCCCTCAGGCGTGCATGTGTGTTGACACCCATGTGCGCGTGGAAAGAGGCAAGGCAAGCGGCCCTGGGGGATGGAAAGTGTAGTGCCCTCCCTGGCCCCAGCTGCATCCTGCTGTGTGCATAACAGTCTTTTTCCTCCCTGAGGCATTGGGCTGTGCGGCTGGCGCTTCCCAGCCACAATCATAATGCACTAAGATTCTGTCCCACGCAGTCCCATTAATCTTCTACGTCTACTAGCTTTTCCCCTCTCAAATGGTGAGCCTGAGTTTTAATTGTTTTGCTTTTTCCTCTTCATAAATGCTGAATTTACACAGTCGCATCTGCCTGAACTCCAGTGTCTTTGATAAAGAGTCATAAAATAAAAGATTGGGGGGGGTGTCGGTGGATCTCTAGATGTTTGCAGGTCCTAAGGTCATGAAGCAGCCAGGTTATGTTAAAAGGAAGAAGAGGAGGAGGAGGAGGAGGAGGAGGAGGAGGAGGAGGAGATTGGATTTATACGCCACCCTTCACTACCCAAAGGAGTCTCAGAGCAGCTTACAATCTCCTTTCCCTTCCCCTACCCTGTGAGGTAGATGAAAGTGGGAGTGTCTATATAAATAGGCGTACAGTTCTGTGGGGAAGGAAGGAAGGAAGGAAGGAAGGAAGGAAGGAAGGAAGGAAGGAAGGAAGGAAGGTAGAAGGGCAGAACAACAATAGATAAGAGGGACAGAAAATGCTTCTCTCCAGACTGGTCCCTTGAAAGTTATGTAGATTTATAATGAGGCATAAACTTTCAAGAAAAAAAAATCCAGCAAGTTGATTATGAACAGTAACTGCTGTTTTGGATTGTGCGCCTTCCTTGCACAGTATTCCATTGCCGCCTGTGCAGAACACTGTTGCTCTGGAGGTACCTCTGGGTCTGTGGGGTAAGGCATTAAGGCAAGCAGTGGGCTTGTGGCACTCAGAGGTTGTCCTTTTGACCCCTGGGCACAACTCAACCAGGCAAAACGTTTCAGCTCGCTGACTAGGAGGAGGGATGTGTGAACCGATCTGGAGCCCATACAGCAAAAATCATCTCCTCCAAACAGGAGTCAAGGAGTGTGAATCATCCCCACACTTGACCCTGGCTCTTTAGTAGTCCTCGCTATAAAACAAGCTGAGCCCTAAAAGGTGTTTAGAAATGTATCCTCTTCCCCCCCCCTTCAACTGCAGCTCTCTACAGTCTGAGTCTCGTCGTAGCTTTGTATTCATATTTGCCTGTCGACTTGGAGAATTCTACCTTCTGAGAAGGCCTGGTTTTGTGGCCGTAACTATGGGCAGCCACTTTAGTATTCAAAAGCTCAAGAGAGTGTGACCCATGAGGACTCACAGCAAAGGGAAATCCCATTCCTCTTCTCCGCTGACCCTGCTCCACCCCTCTTGCTTTGTTTCTGCTTCCCCGTTCTCTGCCCCTCCTGTGATGTGGCTCCACTCTGCCCCCCCCCCACTGCCACCAGGAGGTCTTTCTTTTTGTCCTCTTCCTCTTTTTCTTCCAAAACTCTCTTGCTGGCTCTTCTCTCCCCCCTCTTTTGCAGCCCCCACAGAATCTCTTCCTCCCCAGTCCTCTCCCCACTCCTGGTTTCTTCCAAACTTACTTCCTCCTATTTGCAGTCCTGGTTTAGGGTACTGTTTTGGGTTGCTCTGAAAACCTCAAATGCCACCAAAGTTCCATTATTATTATTATTATTTTCAAAATCTGCACGTTTCAGTGATTTGGGAGTTTTGCGGTCCCTGCTCCCAATTACTTTTCAGCTTTGTACATTTTTTTTGCAAACTGGGAGTTTCCAACGTGTTTGTGGAAATCTATGCCCTAACCCCGTTGTGTGGATTCTTTTATCAGCATATGGGGGAAGAGGCATTGGTGGCTCTTGGACAGAGAGACAGATAATGGACTTTGCTGTGGGACTGAATGAAAAATGGTTCTGAACTTTATGCCAGAAATAGACAGCAGCAGTCCTGCATTTCTGGAGTGTTGTGCCAGACCGAGAGCCTTCTAATGGGGATTCTCTTCTATTTCCACAGTTGTGCCTGTGTTGTTGGTGTCAGTCCAAAGATATGCTGTCCTTGGAAGAGAAACAGTCCTGCCTGAAGTTCAGAGCTAATGATCACGGATATGACAATTTCCGCTCCAGTAACAAGTACAGCTCATCTTAAACGAGGTGGCGTTACCCTCAGCTCTTGTACGCTGTTTCCAGGGCCTTCCTTTGAGTGGGGGTGACAAGGACTGTTAAGAAAAAAAACACTTGGGTCTCTAAAACCCATACATTTGGCATTTGCATCGCAATGCAAATGGGTTTTTACCGCTCATAATCGTGCATGGTGTCTGTAACTGTTGGAGAAACAAAAAAGCCCCTTGTTAGAGCACTTAAATTCTTCAGAAATGAGCACTTCCAGATCATCCACAAATAAATTAAATTACTGTGTATTCATTGGAGCAGCCCTGGAAGGCTGCGTAATAATTTTTCGTATATAGCATAGCATGATTGTTGGCAGAACAGAGCCAGCATTGTCTATAAATCACCGTATCCTCTTTTTTTAGTGTAAAAATACACAGACAAGTACGTCCATCTAAAACATAATCCTGTATTTAGTATACCTTTGCATTCTGCATCACATCTGTAGTCAAAAGACAAAATTTTAAAAATATATATATAGCTAAGAGCAAAATTAAAAGGACACCGTCAGATTAAGACTGAATTAGTTCTTTGCTCCCGTTAAGAAAGAAAATACAAGTGTATAATTGGGAACGGAGTAGGAGCCAGGAGAAACGTTGCAAATGTGTTTTGGGGTTTTTTTTAATTGCCAGAAGGGTCCTTGAGTCATGAGCATTTCAGTCATAGAAACTCAGCTACATTGCTCAGAACGAAGTTTAAGTCAAACAGATTGCATTTCAAAGGATCATATGGCCAACACAGCTTGTGACTCACCAAGCAGAAGGCAGCCCAGCAGTCAGGCAGCAAGACCAAGAGGTGAGGAGTTCCTGGTGGGTGGCTGGCAGGTTGCATTTTGCATACAGGTTGCAAAGAACTCGATTCTACTGAGATGAGAGCCATAGTGATGGAAGGGGATTGTGCCAGTAGAGGAGGGCTCCGGGACTCATTTGTAGTTCCACAAGGGAAAAGGTGTGTGTCAGCCACACCTGAGAAGGGAAAGTATTAGTGCAGGGATGACTATCTGATGGTCGGTGGGCTGCATCTGAGTCCGAGTCGCAGTCCTCTGGAGCGCAAGTGCCCGGGAGCCCTGGATAACACTGCTAACCCTGTATTGGGGATGCCTGTTCCCAGGGGTCATTTCGTAGAAAAAGAGGTGCAGGAGTTCATTAGCATAACTCATTAGCATAACTTATTTGCATATGCCACACCCCCTGACATCACTGGAAGTGTGTCAGAAGGCAACACCTACCACTCAGGCTCCACTGGACTGTTTTGGATTGCTAGCTATTGGGGGGGGGGACGTGCAGATCTGTCTTCGCAGAGGAGGGAGAGCTTGTACCTGAATAAAACTTGGTCTTAAAGCTGCCACTGGACTCTTTTGGACCGGGGAGGAGCTCTGCAACTTACCTGGCTGCTTCTTGCTCTGACTGAGGGTTGCTGGGAGCAAGGGGTGGGGCTCGTTGCATGTGCCCAGCTCCTGGGCTCTTTACTGCCGGAGCTCTGCTCCTGTGCGCTCCTGCAGGAAATGACCCCTGCCTGTTCCTCTCTCTTCCCTGTAGGGTGAATGGCCTCCCTAACCATCCTACCTGCTGGAAGAGACGTCCAGTGGTTGTGGGGATAGGGATTTCTTACTCTGCATATGCCTCCGTTTCTTCCCCATTGCTAGCAAGACCAGAATAAATTATATAAAATGAATTATGCAAAATTGCTCAATTTGCATAATTAATACAGGATACAGTATTTGGTGTTTTGTGTCAGACACTTCGTACAGCTCTGATCATACTACCTTCCAGCGGTGGCTCAAGTGGTTAAGACGCTGAACTGCAGGCTGTGGAAGGTCGGTAGTTTAGCAGTTCGAGACCCGGGTGCCGCATGACGGAGTGAGCTCCCATCTCTAGTTCCAGCTCCTGCCAACCTAGCAGTTCGAAAGCAAGAAATTGCAAGTAGATAAATAGGTACCACTTCAGTGGGAAGGTAACAGCGTTCCGTGCGCCTTGGTGTTTAGTCATGCCGGCCACATGACCACGGAAACGTCTTCGGACAGCGCTGGCTCTTCGGCTTTGAAAGGGAGATGAGCACCGCAATCCTAGAGTCGGATTCAACTGGCTTTCGAGCAAGGGAACCTTTACCTTACAGTATTTGGTGTTTTGTGTCAGACACTTTGTACAGCTCTGATCATACTACCTTCCAGCCTTAAGAAGTTTGCTAGTCCAAGCTAGGTTGAGCATAGCTCTTCTTCATTGCAACACATTCTTGCATATGACAACACTCAGATTACTTCCACACAAGGATGATTCCCTGTTCTCCTCCACTTGTTGTTGTGAATGCAGTGGGCATTCGCAGTGGCAGTGGAGCTTCCACACTGGGGATTCCCTGTGGTGTCCCCTCATACCTGCCATTTCTGCCCACCCTCACCACTGAGGGCTGTTTTTTTTTTTAAAAAAAAGGTAGTAACTATAGCAACATATCTACTACCAGTTACAAAAGAGCTGGCAAAAAGCACACCGGTGATTGGGGGAGAATGGTGGATAAGAGGGGAAATGGTGCCACACTTTCCCCAACCCTACTTTGGGTACAATCTTTCAGGAAAGATTGCACCAATACAGGTTTGGGCGAACATGCAGTGGGGCTGGAGTAAACCCAGGAGGTGGACAACTGCACTTGATGTGGAATCTTCAGAAAGAACAGTAGGAGGGTGTAACAGAGCAAGAAGCAACCTTGGTAGCGCTATGGCAGAGAAATTACCAATATATTCATAGAAATCTGGCGGACAGTTGCAGTTACCTGTATGCAAGAGTAGCAGAGCATAGTCCTTGTTTTTATTCTTCTAAGAGCATTGTATATATTTGGGTAACATAGAATAGTAAGTAATAAAATGTGGGCAGGTCCCATTATTAATGCTTGTATGAATAACCAATTGAGAGGAGAATGTGTAGCAAACATGAAATGTGTTGGGTCATGTTTTTGAATGTGCCTGGCAGATAGAGGATTTCCTTGTTCTTCTTAAAATCATGCTAGTAAACGTAGGTGTAGCATTTAGCACTACAGATAATTACCAGTACTAAAAGCTATTAGTGTGTTCTGGATTATAAAGTACTAGAGCTAGAAAGGTCTACGGGATGTTCGAGGTCAGTCAGTGGCTTGCAGTGTGGCAGGATCCACTATTGTGAAGGCACCTCTGGCTTTTTTTCTCGTGAAGCTAAGTGCCATAGCTGGCACAGACAGCAGATTTTGGGCACCTTTAAAGGCTGACCAATTGTCACAGGTTACTGTTCTTATTGTTTTACAGTGTCATGGGGGTTACCTTTGCCCTGTCCCTGGCAGATGTCTGTTCAATTCCTTCAAAGGCCCTTTTCATCTGTATTATGAAGCAGCAGAGGAAAGAGGAAAAGGATCAGTCCTTTTTTTATTAAAAGAGACTTTGCCCATAACGTGCCTTCAAAACTCTTGAGGTTGTAACTATTTTAGACAAGCAGTTGACCTCGTATTTTTGTTGGCTTCAGTGGAGCTGTGGCAATTTATATTCCTGCTGGCAATCTCGTTTGGGGCCATACTAGACACTACACTTGAGTCCCGGACCCAACTTATTTTCCCCACAGCTGTGCAGCAGCTGTGAGGAATATCATTGTAAAGACTAGGAGGAACCCGTTCAAGTTCAGCTCATACACTGATCTGCCACAGCATTAAATAAAACTTTAATGAATTGTGGATTTTCTACAATCCTTTGAAAGTGGCAGTTAGGAAGGAAATAGCCTGTTTACGTAGTCAAATGTCTTGTGTCCTAGATATTGATTGCTATTTACAGCTGTATATGATGATATACAATAATAATAAAAACATGAGAATCAAAAAAAGTTCAACAGTATTACAGAAAAAAGCAAAAAAAAAAAGAGCATACCTCTAGAAATTGTGAATTTGTAGATTCTTTATAACTTCAGCTATTATGATTAAAACAGTTGATCAGTCATTAAGGGCTGATTGATGCCACTGATCAGCTGTTTCCCGCTGATAGGAAATTAAGGCTTTTCCAGCACAGTCCTTAGCAGAGTTAGAGTGTTCTAAATCCACTGAAAATGCGCTTAGAAAGCATAACTGTGCTAAAGATTGCACCGTTAGCATTTGATGTTTGGTCAAAAGATTGATTCAGTGCCCTTAAAAACTTCCTCAGGATTTTCCTGATTTTGTACTGTAGAATAATGTTTTTTCTATCTCTCTTTTTGAAAGTACTAAAACTTCGCAGTAACCTGATCCCTCAGATGCTTAACTTTCACAGTTTCAACCACTGCTTTCTCAAAAAGTAACCAGGTATACTGCATAAAACCATGTAGCCAAATAAATAATCCGGTTGGATGCTACAACTCCCTTCTGCTAAGTGTGATCCAGAGGAAGAGAGTTCTTCACCTTCAGCAAGTCAATCTTCTCTCATTCAGTGGAAGAGCATTGTAAGAGCCAACCTACCAAGTTGAAGGGACACGGTATGACTGCTGTAGCATTACAATACTGTGCATGTATTATATTTTTAATTCTATTTAAAATATAGTTGTCATTATAATTATGTATTGTATTGGGGGCATTCTTCTCCCCTGTTGAGTATATTGTTATGTCAGCCACTCAGAACCATTTCACACAAATTCTTATACAAAACCCACCTGTAGATCCTGCCATGCGATGAACCAAAACATGTTTTTTCTACAGATTGTTTACTGTGTAGGGATGTGGTTGTTCTGAAGCATCTCTTATCCGGTTGTATATTACAGACACAGAGTATGTTTCCTAATGTTTAGAGACATTTATATGTAGTAAATATATTATTTTCACGGTTTAATATTTTGCAGTATAATTAAGGATATTAACTTTTTTCAGAACCTATGATTCTTGTCTAAGTAATCTACACAATAACGTTATGGGGGAAAGCACCATCAAGTCGCAGCCAACTTATGGGTACCCCATAGCGGTTTCAAGGCGAGAGACATTCAGAGGTGGTCTTGCCATTGCCTGGCTCTGCATTGCAACCCTGGACTTTCTTGGTGGTCTCCCATCCAAGTACAAACCAGGGCCAACCTGGCTTAGCTTCTGAGAGCTGATGAGCACAGGCTAGCCTGGGCCACCACCTGCCTTAGCTGCTGATAATGCTGTGAAAACATGTCCCTTCTGATCTGTGCAGTTCAAGCTGCCATTCAAGGCAGAAGAACAGGCCAGGCCATGCATTGCCAATCAGTTGGCAACCTGAAAGCCGATGGGGAGGTAAAGCAATCTTGGTGGGATTGGCTTCCAGCAGCCTTTTTAATAAATACCTGGCCATAATAAATACTGTATTTGCTGTCTTTATTTCCAATCTGAAGAGGTAATGTCGGAGTCAAGCAGCTACTGAGACAGAACTCCCTCTCCTTTTAACTTTGCTCACATAAATTTCCTG